GTATGTTTTGGCAATAAAGTTAGGAAAAACAATATAACCGTTACTTTTTAAATAATAATAAAAAAAAAACTTTATATTTCAGCTAATATTCTGCCCTTATGGCTTCATTAGGCCTAGTGGTACAATAACTTTTTTGATGTAAAAATATATGTTAATTAGCTTATTAAACTGCTTTTGATGTTCTATGGCTCAAAACTTTGTAACATGTTATTAACAATGTTTAGAATATTGTAGTTTCACAAATGTCCTAATATCCTAATGTTTATAGCATATTATGATATTAACTATACTACTATACTACCATTTGACATATATTGAAATATAAAATTAAAGACAGTTTCAAAATGTTTTATGTTTTGCCACAAAATAAAAAATAAGGTGGTTGAGAAATAAAATTTTGAGCTGAAAAGATACAAAATTTATCAATCATAGAAGAAAGTCTTGAGCAATAGAAAGCACTTTAATAACTTAATGTATAATATCACATCAAACAGTTATTATTACTTCTCCCTCTAACTTTATAGTATGCATTATAAGTTCTGAAAAACAATTTCTGTATGACTGACTTACAATTTTAAGATATAAAAAGGCTTTTTCCAACTGTAACTAAGTGTAAAGTATTTTTCTAAAACATCAGTTTTAGTGTGCTTTATTTTCTGAAGTATTGCAACTACTGTCATGCATTGATGTAGTAGATGCAATTGATATCTGACAGCTGTTTTGTCAAGACTTATGCTGATAAATGGGGCATATTGCATATAGCCATGGTTGAAGGTTTAATTAAAACGTTTATGGTTACACCTTAATGGTTAGCTATAGGAGTTTACTGTGATAGCATTTCTATATAATGAGAAACAGTGCTGTCATCCTTTAAGGTTAAAAACTTTCCAATTCCATGTAATCTACTTGATAATATGTGTAATATAAGTAAGATCCTGATCTGAATATTACTAGTTAAACAATGAATTCTAATGTAATTGTTATGGGTTGATTTAACTAACAAAAATATGTGAAATCTACCTAAAAACACTTGAATGAAAAACAAACAAACTAAAATTCTGACTTAGCTAAAACACTAAGCTTTAACTCATAAATACAATAAAATAAAGTAAGTTGATATTACTCACATTGCATTATTTTATTTGTGTTGTAAAACTGTTTGTTTATTTGAATTCCGTGCAAAGCTACACGAGAGCTATCTGCACTAGTTGTTCCTTAATTTAGCAGTGTAAGACTAGAGGGAAGGCAGCTAGTAATCACCACACACTGCCAACTCTTGAGCTACTCTTTTACCAACAAAGAGTGGGATTGACCGTTACAATATAATGCCCCCACGGCTGAAAGGGCGAGCGTGTTTGGTGTAATGGGGATTCGAACCTGCGAACCACAGATTACGAGTTGAGCTCCCTAACCATCTGGTCATGCTGGGCATGTTTGAAAACTGAATTACATTCTGCTTAGCTCACAATTCACCACATTAGATTTTTGTTCAGAATAGTTCAATGATGATTCTTAGGAGCCAAGCTATATAATTTTCTTTCTTGCCATTATGGCCAATGCTATCTCTTATACACAAATTATAATTCAAAAATATTTGATGTTAATTGGAAGTTATTAATTTTATATGATTTTGTAAACTTTATCTTTTAATATTTAAATTTATATGTTTGGTAGAGGGAGCTAATGATGATGATGTAATCATCTACAAATTTTGTGGAGTGTATATAGAAATAAGGGAAACATGAAAATGAGTATTAATGAAGTAATGAGCAGTAAATGAGTTAATGAGTATTCAATGAGCAATTCAGTTTAGTGTCAATCAATTATTTTAGTATAAGAAAAATTATTTAGTGTTAGAAGTGTGTTTTCTATTCTGCTATTCAGTTATTTGGTGAGTTAGCATTGTTTTATATTGATAAATCGATTAGCTTTGCAAGAAAATATTATAAGTTAGGTGTAAATTTCACAGTTTATATTGAAATGTTGTATTTGTAGTTAGGTCTATATTTAGTTAGAGAATTTATCTTGAAAACTTTATTTATGTAATTAGGTGTACAAGTCAATGTGGTTGAAGTACATTTATTGAAGTTATAATGTTCCTATACTGAACATTTATTTCTGATAGGCACTTACCTCCAATTACAAGATTAGCTATTCTCATTCAGTGCTGCCCTCTATATGTGAAGTTTTTTTATGCCTTGCCCCCCCCCCCCCAGTTGGAATTATTATATTGCAACATGTCTCTTATGCAAATCATTATGCATCATCTCTTAACCAATAGTAGCATGACATACTCAAGTGACTCCCCCTATACTCCTCTACCAAACTAAAGACACAAACAGAGCAATTGAGAGAGGAAAATAGACAACCTGTACTCATGGGAGGACTTATGTTGATTGGTTCATTCTAATCCAAAACCTCGATGCTGGGAACTGACATCCACATGAAGGTTGGATGAGGTCTCCCAATTAAAGGGGTGAACTGCAATTGTATGCAAAATGTATCAGGAGACCACGTCATCCATTAAGGTGATGGCTTAACTCCAGTGTTTGTGTAAAAAGAAGCGGGAAGCCACGTCAGCTCATAAGGCAATGGTTCAACTCCCTTGGTTGTGTAAATAGTATCAGGAGGCCATGTCAACCAGGAAGGCATTGGCTCAACTCCAGCGATTGTGTAATAAGTATTAGGAGGCCATGCCAACCAGAAGGTGATGGCTCAACTCCAGTGTTTGTGGAAATGTTAGTAGGAGGCTACGTCATTCAGTAAGGAGACAGCTCAACTCTAGTGTGGTTGTGTAAACATGATCAGGAAGCCACGTTGATAGTTATTGCAAAGAGTACTGACAATTCTCACATAATTCCCTAAAAATAAGAAACTATAAATACCATGTCCTGTAGCCTTAAATATCTCATGTAACTACTTATTACTTATAATACTCAACACACTTTTGTAAAAGCCTTGAAAGGTTAGATCCCTTTTGTAGAAAGAATAGCATTGGGCTAGCTTTCATGCTAAGCTTGTAAAATATATCTAAAGCATCCTTTATCTACAACAGCCAAATTATGGTTGTATCCATGTGTGAATGTATTCAATATAATTTTGGAAAATATAATGAGTATCATCATTATTTTACACATCAGTAAGATATGAACCAACACCCAACACAATTATTCCTCAATGTGAACAACCATTGTTGGTTTGATAAATGTGTATTGCTTGTGCATGTTACAACTTTGCCTCTGGAATAGATATTTGTCACTTTTGTATATACTCACATATTTGGCAGGATGACAATAGATATTCTCTTCCCATGCAAGAGGACATATATAATTAGATATAAGTTCTTGGCAGCCAGTGAGTCCAAATTCAAGACATAGAGGAACAAAACTGCTCGACAAAAGCAGTAGCAGCCAAATGTATTGCTCAATTTATAGCAAAGGTATTTTTTAACCCAAAACTTTAGATAACCCAGTAAAAAGTTAAACAAAGAGAACCCTCACTGGCTTCACACAGATCTTACCCACATGTTCCTCAAATGTTGAATTCTGGAATACAGGTCATCAAACTGAGACTCCTTAAGTCTTGTCAAAGTATGCACCATCAATTAGTTTGTAAAACTAATCAAATCCACTTGATCTTGCTATGGGTAGGTCAAGGTGTTACATTCAAAGTTTAATTAAATTACTTTCTTATCATTGTATACAAATAAACTTGGCATCAAAACACAGTTAATGAATCAAATTTTAATATAAATTTTAAGTTCTTAACTTTATAATGGAATATTTAAAAAAATCCTCAATCTCTCCCAGTATGAGAACTGTGACATTTGTTCTCTAGGTCTTCCCTCTTCTCTAGTTTATTTACCACCCCTCTAAGAAGTATGGAATTCAATATAAATTACTCATTATAATATAGTTATTACTAAGACAAAGCATAATTTATATAGCCTTCAATCTTGTCTACAGAATCATAAACTAGAAAATTAGACTCACCTGCCACACCCATCTGTCACATCCCCTCTTTCACAAATTGCCAATAGTTCTCTCCGAAGTTTAACACTATAATATTTATAACCAATAGAAAGCCAAGATTTTAATCTATTAAAGTGTTTTCAGTACAGAAAATTGTCTATTTCATCTTCAGAAAAAGTGGACAAACAGAGGATTTAGAGGCACCAAGAAAAAGTAAGCATGTGGCAATAAACAAGTTCATTTCTTCAAATATTCCCTAAAATAGTTCCTTCACAGGTGAAACAACTTCTATAGTAAACATTTATTTTATATTCAGCACTATAAGGCAGAATTCCCATCATATATAACTTTGTTGTTTAATTTGAATTGTACAGTTTTTAGTACAATATTTAACTTGAACTGTAAGATTCTCAACATTCAGTTTAATTTAAATAGTTTGATTATCAGCTTACCAAATTTGGTTTTGACAGTGATCTTGGCACAGGCACTCAACATTATGAGTACTCAAAACTTTTTTAAATCTTCAGAAAATTCATATAAAAACAAAATAAAAGGATGACATCATAATGGATGAATTGCCAAATCATGTAAGTTTGCTAAAATATTTTTAATTCATGCAATATGATGTTGTCCTTTTTATTATCTTATATCAATTTAACATGAAGTGGTTATTTGTTTAAGTAAAATATAAGCTAAGCTTAAATACAATTAAAGAAAAAAATTATCTTGCTAATAATCAGAAAAATTGAGCTAATAAAGATCTAATATACTGAGCAAATAAACATGCACAAGCTTAACACTATGTAAACTTCATAACATGCAGATTTTACATGATGTATATGCAAACTTTACTATTTCACAAGTTTATAAATATTTGGTTTCTGTGGTAAATCAATGATGTATATTGACTATTTTTTTAATTTTGTATCATAAACATTATAAAATTAATATATATAATTAAATGCAAAATATACTTATAAGTACATAAATTATTAGTGTTCATTTTTATTATTAAAATCAGTGTCTAACCTGTATTGCTTTTATGAGCTTTTCATCAACTTTCAGTTTTTCTTTTTCCTCTAGAGCTGCTTTTCTTTTATTTCTTTCAGCCACTTTCTATATAGTGAAACAATAACTAAATTGATTTGGTTTATTTGTACAAAAAATGTCAAAGCAATAAATCACAGTGTACTAAACTAGCACATTTAAAACAGTGTCTTCAGTTAGTGTAATTGGAAACATACTTACTAATTATCATTTTGAAATTTCCTTAAAGATAAACAAAAGTCATTATTATTGTGGAAAAAACTAAAACAACTAAAACAGCAACATACTAGAAATTTGTATCAAACATAACCTTGAAGCAACATTAGAAATTATCTTCACACAAAACAGAACCTAAAGGCAAAATGCAGAAATATTCTCAATCTAAAGATGATCTACAAGCAATATACAATAACATTTTTAATCAAAATGTGATCTAGAAACAAAATACACAGAAATTTTCTTATGCAAACACTAACATACATGCAACTCAAATTCTTTTCTATTAAAATATGATCTAAAAGGAATATTTAAAAACAGAGATGGCAAACACAAATTAATAGTCACAATTACCACTGAAATATTCCATAATTTTAATGTATAAGAACTCTGTTTGATAAATTGAGAAAATTTCAATAATGAATATTTAGCTCAAATTAAAATGTAAAGATAGAACATTACATTTGTTTTCTGCCTATTTTCTAATTGAGCTACTGCATCTCAAATACAGCACTTATTACACAATAAAATGAGCATAATGAGTGGCATATGAAAACATTCACAAATTAAACTATAATTCCGTCTTACCTGTTCATTGCTAGCTTTTTTCCTCAGTTCTAACAGGGTCTGGTTACCAGGTTCTAGCTGTAACAAGTGACTGTTAATTTATTAGATGTTAATGACATTACCTGGAAAAAATAAATAGAAATCTTATCTTTATCTATTCAGCTTGAATCTGTTAGCCCATTTCCTTCCTAGGTTAGTTAGTATGCTTTAAAATGCTACTATCTTATCAGAAATAATAATAAAATCTAGTTATGTTAGGAAATTAAATACTATAGAAAATTATTTTAAAAACAATTGTTTCACATTTTAGACAGATTTTTACACATAAATATCAAGGCAACAAGACTGACAAATAACTCAACATAATATTCCAGCCACATTAGTCATCATGAGACTTTGTTGTGATGGTAACTTGACACTGACAACAGAGGCATACTCATATAAATACTTGTTTCCCTCATTTTGACTGTTGTACATGAAACTGTATCATATATGAAACATAGTATGAAATCTGTATCAAGCTGAAAATATAAATAATACCATAATGTGCATTTTGCTTCTTCTTTAAAAACAACTGTCAATAGATTTCAGATGATAAAAAAATAGTAAAGACTTTTGTAACAGTGCATGATAGATAATATATAGTTCAGTAAAAATACGTTTGTTTGAAAAACAGACACTAAGAATATCTACTATTTGACAAGAAAACTTGTAATGATATTAGATGACTTCTTTGCAGAGATTAAAATGATTCACAAGGTGGAAACTGAAGTTTATATAAAATATTCAAATAATTGTAATATCAAAAAATATTTTAACGACTAAAGTTTTGAAATTTGTTTCCAGTTCAATAATCAGCTTGAAACTTCTTTATAAGTATAAAAATGTCATAAGTTGTTAATATGGATGGAAGTTTTGAAATAACATATTAGAATAATTAATCTGTTTACATTTTACAGAACAGGTTGAAAGAAACTGTAGAAACATACATGCATGCATGCATGTTGAGATATCAATAAATCAATCAACTTAAAAATCTTACTGTGCTTTTTTTTTGTTTGTTTGTTTGTCATTAAGCACAAAACTTTTCAATGGGCTACTTGTGCTGTGCCCACCATGAGTATCAAGACTTGATTTATAACATGGTCTGACAACAATATCATTCCACTTCATTTTCCACCACTGGAATTCCCATTTACTGTGTTTTCATCTATGTCACTTTCATATTATTTAATGATTTGATCCTTCATGTCAGGTGATAATTCCCCCAGCTATGATGGAATCAGATATTGTGCACAAAACCTTGCCTTAGGTACAACAAACCATGCACAAAGTTCTTGTAGAAGGTGATCAACAAATGGACATTACTTTGCTTGTTTACAGTATTCATTTGGGCCATCTCCAGGAACCTCGACACAATTCCTCTGGTGACCAACACATCTTGGCATGTGTGGCTCAACATAATTTCTCCCCACAATCTCAACTGCCCTATTATAAAAAGTATTCCACACTTGATCATCGTCGTGTTCATTATTGACTATAGTAATTACTACTCTAGTCTTCTTTGCACCCTTTACTAAATCCAATTCTTTAGACTGAAGTATGGTTGACAATGGTACGAAGACTTGGAGAACATGTTCTTGCTGTAAATTCAAACTGAAGTATACTGGATACTGCTTAAATGTCCATCAGCTTTGTCATCACCACCATCCAAAAGTTCTCTAAGTGCATCAAAATAATTTTAAATTTAGATGAAAGGTGAACAGAACATCCATCCATGCTGACCATCGTATTTTGCACAATTCTCCTAGCTTCTTTCTCCATGGCAGCTCTTCCAGTCTCTGAGGTACATTATCTAAGCTCTTAACAAACTGTTCAATGCACTTGCCAGAGTACAAGAAAACAAAACTTATTTCTTGGATTATGCCCATCATGTTTCTTACAACTTGTTCAGAAGAAGCATGTACTATTGCTAGAAATTTAGCAGTTTGCATGACAATGAACATATGTAACTCCAGGCACATGATCTCTACTCCTGGCTTGAACTCCACAGTGTACACCACTCATGTTACTAGCACCATCACATCCTCATCCACGCATCATCTCCACCGTAATTCCATTCTACTGGTGTGACATGCACAACAAGATTTGTTTCTGTGTACACTTGTCTGTTGTTTCATCAGTCATTAAAGAAAAATATGGAGAATCACTGCACTTACTTATGATGTGTGTTTGAATCTGTCCCCTACAATATTTATCAGTTTGTTCTAAATTCCAGGAAACGGGTATTTTGCTTTTGTAGGAGTAGTTTTCAAATGCCTAGCAAAAAGTTTGACACTTTTGGTAGTGTGATGAATGATAGACATAAAGTTGCTCTCATCCTCAGAGTGGAATATCTTGCTTACCACACATAACAATAGTTTCAAGAAGACTAAGAATTGTTTGGTTATGATTAACCATATTGGTTCTTGTTAGTTGAGCAATGGTGAATATTGGGTTGTTTTCTTTCTATTATGGCCAGAAAAACTCTCTCCTTGAAGGGCACAACCATGATGAAGAAAGCCTGCTCTTCTGTAGCAACTTATTAATGACAAAGTGTTTTTCCAGGCAGTCACTGGCCAAATGAGTTATCTGTACTATCTCTTTGAAAAAAGCAAGCAATAGCAGCATATTATGCTGTCATTCTTTTTGGAATACCATAGCCATGGGTTGTTCACTAAGAGTTTATAATTGAAGCAATGCTTTTTGTTACCAATAAACCTGAAAGATTATGATAAGGGAAATCATGAGATATATTTGTATCATTATTTGTCAATTACTTGTTAGAGTATCTCATGTGAAATACAGTACACAGATGAAAAAAGAGAATTAGTCAGAACAATCAGATAGACACATGAAGGACAACAACAACAATTATTTACGAAGTATCTGCGACCTATTTATCTGAGAACATTTTTCATTACATTTATTTATTTTTACATATTATCAATCAATCAATTCATACATTAAATTCATTACATTTATTTATTTCATGCATTCATTCATTCATATGTTACTTGAATGGAAAATCATAAGCATGTAAATCCTCTCAAGTAACACGCAGAAATTGCAGCTGACCTTCATCTGTTTTCAGTGTTGCTGGGGCCATTAAAGCAAAATCTGGATATGCTTCAACTTTTGAAGACTTGATTTCTGACAAGTCAATTTTAGTGTCAGATTTTGGCATGCCACTAAAAACATTAATGTTTGAATGTCAACTAGATGATTAAGATGGACTTGGAGAAACATCATCCTGTGTATGCTCACTTAGTTTGGTTGTTGGTTTGAACACATCTATAAATTATTTTGTTACCATGATCATCATGTGGTCTTATTTTGTCAGTTTACAAGCAAGGCTGATTCATAGCAACTGTGTGTGGTTGCAAGAGATCCTTAGCATAGATGTCTGTTATAAGGAAATGCTGGATTATTAACACGTCTCAAATCATTATATAAGCTGGGAATGGTGTGTGTGTGTGTGGGGGGGGGGGGTCATTTCAAATTCTTTGTACCATTTTGTCTATTAATTATTTTTAATTTTTTTGTTTTTCAAAATTTTGTGTAGGCACATGCTTTTTTGCCTTTATTAAATATACATCCCTGATATATATATATCCCCAAGCTAAAATGCCAATCTGTAGCAATGAATCTTTTTGCTTTACAGAGATATAAGCAATAAACATGTCACACTTCTACAAGTACATTTTCTTTTAAAAAAAATATCAATAATTCTCTCTGAAATTTAATACTGGATTATTTTTAGTCAATAGAAAGTGAAGATGTCAATTTACTGAATACAACAGGGCTTGGAGCCATTGAGATAAAAAATTTTGAACAGTTAGATGTCCTATTTATCAGCACTGGAACTCTGTTTGACTAATGATGTGAATTATTTAATGTATTTCAGGCTTATTAAAAAAAGCTATATAAATTAGTTTTAGGACTTTATATTTTGTATTTATGGCAATATTTCATTTTATGAGTTGCATACTTGAATTATATAAAAAAAAATTCTGAGACTGCACTCTCCTTACTAACAGGTAGGTCTAGAGACTGAACATGACTTCTACTGCACCACTACAGATAGAAGTTAAAAACATTTCTTGAAAAAGATGAGATATCAGGTGTAAGAATTAAATTTCCTGTATTTGTATGTATATCTTTTACTTATTGTGATAAAAGTAACTAAATAAGCACAATAGTCTGTAGCATGAGCTCAGCTGTGTGAGGTGTGTTTGTGTAATTCAAATGTGTGTGCTGGTAACTTGATTTTGTTTACATAAAGCTGTCTGGCATAATAAGAGCTATTGCTGTATTCTGAGAAAGTTTTAGTGCAACTATAAAGAAATAAAACTATAAATGAAAAATCTAGTAGCTTTTACAGTAAAAATAAATAGTGTGTAAATGCCTGTTACAAGATGCAGTCATTCTAGAGAGAAAAAGACGGTACATTAGATTTATTTAATATTACTTATGTGGTGGTTACAAGGTTGGTGAAATTGACTGAAGCCCATAAAATTAGTGCTATGGTAGAAAATATAGCAAGTAATTTATAAAGTTCAACTGGAAAAAAATTTTAATATTCATTTAGGAGGAGTGGTTATGCAAATTGAATTTAAAACTGTAAGATGAAAAAATAATTTTTATTTTTAACACAAAAATCATCTTGCATTTGAAGAACTCATTAAAGGCTTTGTAAGTTCAGACAACTCTTTCAATGAAATACCATGGTGGTTAAAAGGTTGGTCAAAATGACTATGGTTATATGGAGAGAGTTAACCACCTCACCATTCCATCCCAAAGCTATACTAACTTTGTCCTGACATCCAAGGTCTTTAATTGTGGCATCAAACAGGTGTCACTTATCTTTGCTCTCTCTTCTACTGCCTTTTTCAAGTGTTGCTATGACAAATACTTACTAGCAGCATGGAGGTGGTCTGCATTTGCTGCATAGCATTTAAGGGTTGATTGCTACAGATCATTGCACCCATGCATAAATTCATTCCTTTCTACCTTTCTCACATAATTTGACGTTGTCC